AAAGTTCTTGCTGGGAATCTTCCCAAACTTTGGGTACATTCCAATAGACTGACAACAATCTCCACTTTTTCCAACTTAGGCAGGATATTAGAAAGGGTCCATTAACCAGAGTATATCTACAGTTCTGATTAAATTAAATGATTCCAGAATATGGCAATTTATACAAATTTTCAGACACAGGGGTTTCTTTGTTTGGACTTTTGGCACAATATTGTGTTATTCTCCCCTTATTGGTATAAATATATGCAAACTTGTCACGATCCAATTGTACCACCATATTTTTGGGCATCTGTACCAGTTGCATTTTACAGGCAACCTGTATCATCTCATCATTTGCGCCCTCTTGTATTTGTTTAATACATAGACTGGCAAGGCATACTGGGAGATGTCCAGCATGGCAAATTTGACATCATGATTGACCAAATATTGGCAAACATTGGGGTATTTCCAACCCATAGGCTGCATAGTATTTTTGTCCTCTTTTTAGGAGAAATGGATGTTTGATTTCAGTTTGCATCCACTTGGGTGAGCCAAAATAGGCTTCTTGGGCAACAGGGATAGTGTGGATTCTTGAAACATAAACCACTTTGTCAGGTGCTACTACAGGGACAATAGTGATGGTTTTGAATTCACAGATGCTTGCTTTATCTTTGATCTTTTTGCATGTGTAGGATCCTACAGTTACCAGATTGGATTTGATCATTTCAAAAAGATCCAGAGCCGTTACCTCAGTTTTGGCATACTTTGGTTCAGTAGTCAAAATTTCTTCTAACACGGCTTCAACAATGTGGATATCAAATAAATGTATGGGGAAAACAAACTGTTTGATTTTCTCCAGATCATCCTGTGAAGTTTCTGCCAAAGTATTGAGGTGAGAGAATTCCCATCCCGAAAGCAATGCTTTCATCCAGAATTCATTTGCGCTTTTGTTAGTGGCTTTATTGTGTTCAAGCAAAGAATCAAAAATGGATTTGAGCTCATATTTTTCAAATGAGACTAAAGCTGAAGGTTTTACATATGTTTGTTTGTCTGCTACTTGTAGTTTAGTAATTGGTGAAATACCTCTCTGAACTATAGGTAACAGATTGACACAAGGAGTTTCTCTTCCTAGATTGGTAGGTACATTCACAAATTGGGATGATAGATTTTCTAGCGTCATGTCAACAATTTTTGTTTTGTGTATCAAAAGATTGATATCCAAAAACTATTTTTAGGAAGTAGAGAATCAACGATGATCAGTCGTTGGAAACTACTTCTAACAATTTATGGAAAAGGGGATCGGAGATTTAAACCGTTTTCCGCGACTTCCGAAGGAAATGCAAGAGTTACTCTGTGAGAGTATTTTCAAAGTATTATTTATTATATCTTCACACACAGTCAATACAATACAATTCTACAGAGCAAAGCGGCGTAGAGTCAGCGTTCGGACAAGGTCTGGTGCAATCAACTTAAAGCAACATAAAATGCACCTGTATATATAGCCTTGGCCGGCCGTGGACACAGGACGCGCATAGAAGGGTGATTTGGATTGGGGACGTCACTCTTTGTTGCTTTAAAGGAAGGAAGCATGAGCGCGGTTGAGAAAGAATTCCATCAACAACGGGATTGGGAAATATAATTGCTAGTGCACCAGGCGCAGCCAAGCGTAGCGGAAATACATTAGCTTAAAAGGGTTGCGCGTAAAGTGAAGGGTGTTGTGGTCGTTAATATGACTACAAAGTATTTCAGAATAAATACATTGAAGCGCATTTATGTCTTAATTCACATTATTAAAGCCATGAAAAAGATGAAAGCACAGCACAATTTAGGTACTGTACTGTATATTCAAACTTTAATCAGGTGTCTGAAGGACCAGGTTCCAACAGTACAGTATTCATTTGCAGGAGATGCCAAAAAATAAAATATATCCAAAATTTTAAAATAATACTGCATGCTTTACTTGAGTAACCAGGGAACATAAAAATATTTTTTTCATTAGTTAATACAATGAGTGAAGCAGGGTTTTCATATTGAAAGAATAATAATCATGAGTGAAAGAATATAATCATTTCAAAAGATAAAAATTAATCAAACTTGGAGAAATAGAATCTTACACAGAAAGATCTCGCTTCTGGATTCCTCTCTACACAAAGTCAATCTTTAAAAAATTTAAATACCTCCTCACAAAATTCAAAAGACTTCAAACGATTAAAATAAAATAAATTTTCCAAGTTTTCAATGTGACTTATGCATTGAGATAACAACCTCGGTGCACTAATGACTGCATAAAGAAAAAAGTGGTACAATACCTGGGGTTTCCCATCATCGGACTCTCCAGGCTCAAACCCAAGGTCCACCCTGGCCACTTGATGCTCCTCAAACACTGGCAACTTCAACTCCCCAGACTCGACCCTTCTGTTCTTCCTTCCTCGCTGCGTTTCTTCCTCTTCTCCAGTCTTCACTCCTTTCATCCAGACAAAGAACATGAGAGCAACTAGGAATGCGACGAACATGGCTGCTCCCACAACGCCCAAGATGACATAGGCCATGTGACTGGACTCCGGCGACTCTTGAAACACAGCCTGGCGCCGTTCACTCGTTAATCTTTCCAGTGCATACGGATAGAAGATGAAGTCGAGTTCTGGGTCAGTCAAGTCATTGAGTTCTATTACTGCACTGCGAGAAAGGACAGGTTTGCCGTCCCGTCGAAGGGAATACGCAGCTTCCACCTTGAAAATAAAAAATTACTTGAAACTCTAGACTTGCACAAAACGGCAAGAATTTTTTTCGGGCGATCAGGACATTAATTAATCAAATAGTGGGACATGTAATCCATGCGGGTACGTGCAAAAACTTCAATAAACCCCTTCATACATGCTTTTTTTTTTTAATATTGTTGACTACACTCTGAAGGATGTCGTCAACTTGAACCCTTCACACTTAACACAAACATTTTTGGACAACCAGTCCCATTCTTCAAAAATAAACCCCATTTCCAATTTCGAGTGAAATGGTATCATTGAAACATTTAATCCTTCTACGTAGTTTTTCAATGAACAATCGCAACGTGTGGCTGAAAACCATGTCAAATATGTGAATTAGGGTACAAGAGTCATAATTTCTTGATTCCTTGCTCATGTACGAGTTGTGACCAGCCCTCCCTCATCATTTCTACTTTCCTATTCAAATATTTTAAAAATTGTGCCTAGGTGTGTCTGGGCAGCTACGGCATAAGTAGATGAGCTTGCACATGTAACCAGCTTTAAAAAATGAATTATTTCTTAATTTTCTTAATCTTTTTTATAATTTCGAACATGATGCGCGGGTGTCGCTGGGCAACCCCAACTTTTACTAAAAAAAGCTGTTGCATCTTCAGTCATCATCAACTCACTTCATCCTCAGTTTCTTTTGATATTTTCAGCATAGTCACAGCAACATTGTTTGTGATTTCCCTCTTGATGACCTTCACTTGCCCAATGCCAGGGTACAAATCCCGCCTCCGCTTGAAGGCGAACTCATGCGCCCTCTCGAGTCTAGAGGTCAGGTCATGCACAAGATTCTGACTCAGTTCTTCGGGTACATTCTTGAAAAGAATATGGATCCAGTAATCCTGGTCCGGGAAAAACGCTGGATCCGATCTTCCCGGCTGAAATACCGTCAAGTTCTTGGGCAATGTTTCCTTGCCAGGCTGAAAGAATCAAAGTCAACTCATTCTAGTGTCAACGTTTAAAGAGCTAACAAACATTTTTCATGGCGGAGATTCTTCCCCTCAAACTATGAGACAATAAATTCAAACAAAACTGAATACACCAAATCAAAATCACCCCGATCAATTTTTCCGTCTCCCTACATCGAAGCTTCTAACCCACGATTTTCTACACCCTTCCATAGATGTAGCTTTTACTCTTTCTAAATTCCAGATTTGTGAAGCTGACAACACTCGCCTTCATTTCAAAAGAATGAAGTTCACCTCACCTCACGTAAAAAGTGTTCGTTTCAATATGGGTACTCACAATTTTTGGGACTGAACTGGCCCAAAGATAATCATCATCCAAAGTCCCTTGCAACCATTGTATGTCCTCAGGCAAGAACCCAAGTTCAGGATGTACCACATCTGCACTGAGTCTCGGATCCCCACGGAATCGCAGAGTTCCCCTTTTCCACTGCGCTTTATCACTTATATCCTTCTTCAATCTCCTCCCTTTAACAAAGACAGTTTTCATTGAAAAACAAAACGGGGTTTTTTTTCGCATTTGAGACGGGAAAGCAAAAATTTAAAAACCGACCTTGGCCAATCTCGATTAGTCCTAGGTCCGGTAGGCTTTCAGAAGTGAGGAAACTCGCCAACAACAAAGGCCCAGCCCATAGAGATAAGTTCACTCGACCACTTTTCATCACCATTTGAAACATAAAATGAAAACCAACATAATACCCTGCAAAAGAAAAACTCCTATACTTGTCGAGAAAATTTAAATTTTGCACGAGAGAAGAAAACAAAAAAGAACGATTGCACGACATCAGTTTTTTAAAAAATTGAGGAAATCGTTCGTTTCATCATTTACATATCACACATCGGAAATTAAAAAGTGCTGGAATCCTTGTGCCCACTTCCAGCCAGACACGCCATGATGAGCTCAATTTTGCTCAAGTTGTTCCTGCCATCCAATTTGTCCAGCAGAACTTCCCGCAGGGCGTCGTGTCGCAAATCGCTGCCATACACCCTGTGCCGTCCCCGTCTTCCGTCCTCGTAGTTGCTGCTGCTGCCTTTCGTCAAGCGCCGTTTCCGGGCCCCACTTCCGCCCTTCCGGTCTCCGCCGAACACCAGCGCCCTCTTGGCCGCCCCTCCAAACTTGGGCGCAAAGTTTAAGTCTCGGGTGAGATCGTCAAAATCCATGGGCTCGTCGCTCATCAGGTCAAACTCAAACTTGGTCACCTCGGGCACCTCGTCCGCTTCCAGCTCTTCCTCGGCGTCACTGTCCTCCGAACCCATCGCGTGTCCCGTGCCCGACTCCAACGACGCGTCACGGGCCACCACCGCCACGGAAACTCGGAAATCCCGCTTCGGCACGCACTTGACGGCGAGTAGCTTGTAGCCGCCACGCGGAGAGCTCAACACACACGACGACGGATTGCCCAGTGGCTCAGCAGCGCCGACGCCGCCCAGAAACGTACTACTCGACACTACTATCCAGCCGTGGCACTTGGCCAGCGTCTGCACGGCCGTCACTTGATGCTGGGCAATCTGGCACAGCAACAATGCCCTGAGTTCCTGAGGCTCGATCGACAGAGTCATCACGCGTCCGTCCTTGCAAATGGCCTTCAGCGATGTTTCACCCACGCTGATGACCAGCGACGTCCGCGACAGCGCCTCGTAACCACAGCTGGTGATGTTCACCTACATTATAAATTCTTCAGTTCATTATCAAATCATTTCCATTTCCCTTAGAAATTCCATGAAATGATTTTGAGTCTGCTTTGGCCCCGAAATACGGACGATTCAACTTAGGGACACTTGAACCTAAAAAGAAAATACCTGGCATCCGAACATTGTCTCAAGACACCGAAAATTCGGCAACATTTCTAGAAAAAGGGAAATATTTATTTTTCAAAATTTGAACGTCTCTTGTCACTCTTGAGCAAATTGTGCAACAGTAATTACGGTATATTCACAAAAATCGGACATATTTTATTTTTCAATTTACTTTACTCTAAATAAAAAACAGTCTAATCGTGTGCTTATTTTTTCAGAGTTTTTTCCGTCATCTAGTATAGTACAGTATAAAAAGACATGCGCTTGTTTTTTGCTTCTTGAGCTCCTTTTGAAGCCAGATCAGATTCTGTGTGGTTTTCTTCCGCAGTTAATTCCTTTATCGTGACGTAGAGAAAAAATTGTATTCAATTTTCTGGATACTTTATTCCTAATATTTGATGAACAGGACATCTCCTACATTGAAGTCTATGGGAAAAACGTGATCCAAAATAAAGACAAGGTCCACGCACCAATTAAACGCATCTCAGAGCCCGCACTATATTCGAGTTACAGACAAGCTACAAACAGTTTCACGTAATGTATTGTACTGTACTATACCTTCACTTGACTAACGGTCGGCGAGTTGAGCGCGTTCCAGTGGGCCACAATGAAAGGATCTTTCACCTCCTTGGCAAGGTTGTCAATGACAAACATGGTGCTCATGCGCAACACGACGTGTCTGGCCTGCTTGATCACCTGCTCCAGCAACGATTCCGTCCGGCCCAGGTTCTTCAAACTGGCCCGGGACGCAGCAGTTGGCCCAGCGTCCCGACGCTTCACCGGGATCCCGATCGGGCCAAAAGACGGATGAGGCATCGTCTGATGACGCATTTTATGATGCGCATCCCACAACAATTGGTGCAGAGAGTGTTCCAACACGTGGTTGTGGTCCGGGTTCCTAGGGTTCGTCGTCGTCGTCGTGGTGGTGCCAGTGTCGCTTCGAGACACCTGGTTCAACGTGATGATGAGCTGAATGGAGGGGAACAGAGACGCCGTGATACGATTGCCAACCACCATGTGAGGGATGTGTGTGGGCAAGCACACGGCTTCTCGCGCGAGTTGCCGGAAGAGCTCTTTGCAAAACAACACATTCTGCGCGTTCTCCAGCTTCTTTTGCCACGAAAGATCACCTGGTGCTTGGGTTTCCGCGTTCGGGGACAACAGGTTCACCTGTACCGACGCCCAGGTTTCTTGGTCCTTGTGAACAACAACTTCCATGTACGTTTCACACTCCAATTCTGGAGGAAGGACCACCTGGAAAAATGTGGAGTCAATTCTCTTCAAATTGTCATCAGGAAAAAAAAAATCAAGATAGTGAAACAAGCATTTCTGACGGGGAAAGCAAGAATAATTCAAAGGAATTGTAATTTTGTATATCCTGGGCCCTAAATTGCTTTTTAAATGAGTCGACGGGATGCTTATTCCGGAGGCGAGGGTTCATTTGCCTGATCTGTCTTTCGCTTCCTTTCAAAACACAACAAGTTACACTTTTTGTTACTTTCCCTTTTCTGCGTAAAAAAAAAAAATTACAAAAAGGCAGGCAGAAAATTCGAGTTATGAACCATTGATGAGCAAATTATTCGAGCTAGGAAGGTTTTTAATGCAATTTTTCCTGAGGAAATTCCGACGGGGATTTTTAAAAAAATTCGAAATTGATTAGAGGTACATGATTTTTACCTTCAGAGCAGGAGGTATTTTGTGAGGTCCAGTACCACTGTTGACAACAGTTCCCCCATCTGCTTCCTCAGTCTTCAGCACCTCGAAGACCCCAGATTGCCACCTGGCAGCAGCTGAATTGTAACTTAAGTCCCCAACGATGGAATTCCCAGTCTTCTTGAGCCTCCAGTGTTGCCGCAATCGAAGTAACTCCGTGTGAAAATTTGGGATTCCTCGGGTCCTCGCCAATTCAGACTGGCAATTCTTCAATTTATCGGCGCCTCGTTGAAGAATATCCGCAGCAGCCGCGAATCCCTTTTTCTTGGCCAACATCTGAATGATGGGAGCTCGCGGAGGGGCTTCTTGAGCAACCGGGTCAAGAATCATGTACTTTTTCTCCCGGCAAATGGCCATGATGTCCAAAAGCACGGTTGCCTGGTCAAAGGCTTTCATCAGCTTCGACCGAATAGACTCCCAAGGGTACGTCAGGGGCACGGGTTCCTCTTTAACCTCGGTCTCATCCTTCGACGTCGAGTCTTCGTCAGCTTCGAAAAAGTCGATCTTCTGGGCCAATTTCGTCAGATTCTCCGACATGGACGGCGGGTTTTGTCGGACTTCGACCCCCTCGAAAGTGATCTCCTGGACCCGGTGTTCAACCGGGGCCTCGACACTGATGCTCACGGCCGGCACAGACATCTTCTCCTTTCAACAATCAAAAGTAAATTTCGTCAAAATTCCAAGCAAAACATAAAAAGCGACTCACCAGTATTATTTTTCCTGGTACCTTCACATTCGGCAAACGCGACAAAATAGCAAAATACACTGAACAATCCCTGGAAAAAACCGAACGGTACCTGAAATTTAAGCACAGGAGTAAAAGACTATGTTTTTTTTTCTTTTCACTTCAACGCCCGATGTCCAGGATTTCGTGACTTTTATCGCCAAGATACAGAACAGAGTCTGGAAAAGACCGACTTTAGAAGATCTTGTATCACATTAATGATTGCAGACTCGATTTCTGAAATTAAACATGAGACAAATCTAAGCTTCATGAATTACCTTTGAAACGACAATGCTTTTAATGGCGTGAAACGGAGAATTCATTACACGCAAATACTTTCCAGCAGGTTGGGCGTGGAAGCGAAAACTAAAAGAAAGTCGTCACGTAATTCTACGCAATTCACAGTACAAATGTTGTAATTAAATTACTGATAAAAAAAATTCACAGTGTCGTCATCACTTGGTTTTTTGCTTCTTTTTTTGAGGCCCTTTCTTGTTACAATACTTTGCCTCCAGGCCAGCAATCAAACTGCAAAAAAGAAAAGAATGCAAATAATAATTCCGAATAAATGGGGATCTGAATAAGAAGTGAACCTGCTCATGGCTTGTTCTCGTTTTTTGGCATTAGCGGCAATCATTACGGCTAAATCATTTTCAGGTTCTTCGCAAGCCTCAGCGGCTTCCGCCTCTTTCATCATCTGCAAGAATAGGAACAATTATCAAGTTTTTTAACAATCCCGAAAAATTGAAACTCGAAATTCAATGACAGTACCTTTTTGTGCCTCCTTAAAGTCTTTTTTTTCGGCTCCTTGAAAAATGCATCATAAGCTTCCACTTCTCCTCCATCGACTGCCGTTTGAATGAGATCTTTCAATCGTTCTTCGTCATCGATTCCACGGTAGCCCTTGTGGGTCTGCCACAGAACATCCCAATCGCCTTTTGCATCCACGTAGCACTTGATAAGATCGGTTTGCTCTTCTTCAGATCCTTGGGAACGAAAGTTCAATTAAGTTTAAACAGTTGGGTTGTTAGTAAATTGAAAAAATGTATTTTCGGGGAACATCTGGCTTTATCGCGCGTACATTTCAACATAATGTCGCTTAATTTCAAATAAATTTTGAAAGAATAAATACGTTTCGGGTACACATTTTCGTAAATAACAGTGCAGTACATACCAGAATTTCCGCACTACAGTATCATAATTTGAATAAAGTGCTGAGAAGACAACATACTTACAAGAACCACGAGCAATTTTTTTTTTTCAAATTTGAGAGGAAAAAAACGGAAGCGCGTCCTTATCGGCTAAACATTTTTCAAAAAGTTATATAAGTTGTGTGCATCATACTTGATTTTCATGGGACATTTAGGACCAAGTTTATTGGAAAAACTTACATTAACGGAAACAATTGAAAATTAGTTGAGTTGAGGTTCAATTCATGCCTCAATTCAAGTCAAATTTGGGTGTCTCTACTTTTGAAATATGGTGAATGAGTCATTAAAATTGAGGTGCTTGTCTTACTTGGGCATACGATTTCATCAAAATTTTCAACTGAAGAACCTTGGTGTGCATCTTACTCGAGTGTCTGTGTGGTACTCAAAGAAGTATTGAATTACTTGGAACGCACAAAATCCTCATCATTCACCCGAACTCCTAATGAGAGTAAAATACAGAAGGCAGTCTTCAAAAAAAGTAGCTTACCTCTGTAAGTTTTGAAAAACTCGTCGATGTCTTTCATAGTGAGAGGTTTGAACAACAGACGCCAGTAAGATGTCCAGTCATTATCCTCCCAAGAGATTCCTTCATCGTCGTCATCACTAACGACACCTTAAATGAAAGAGGAAAACTAAAAATTCGAAAACAGGTAAGTCGAATAATTCAGGCTTCTCACCAGTTTCATCGTAAATAGCCTTCTTGTCCTTGTCGCTCAGCACGGACATTATTTTACTCAGGACTTGAAAGCATTTCGTGGCATGTTCTTTCTTCTCTGGTGGAGCTCTGTCCGGATGCACAGCCAGAGATAACTTGTAATAAGCTTTCTTCACTGCAACGAAAACATTTGGGCTATTTTTCATGGATAAAAATGGATAATCTACAGAAAACTCACATTGCTTTTCGTTCGCCGTTTTCTTGACATCTAGAATTTCGTAAAGGTCTTTCGACCCGAAGTAAACTTCACAACTTTCGAGAAACTTCATCTTCACGAGGTCAATGAGAAGGAAATTGAGAAGGGGATAACGATACAGTCTAGTGTGTCATCTACTGTACTTCAAAGATTCCATCAACAGTCTAGATCAAAAACCTTCACGCACACAATGTAGACCAAAGAACATTCTTATATAATTGATATATACATATTTGTCTTTCTCACAAAATAAATATTACCAGTCACGGGAGAATTACTATTTTTTCAATCATACGTCACAATTTCAGTGAAACGTCTTTTTCTTTCGAGATAAAATTCAAGCAAGTGTTGACAGTCGTCTATCACAGAAAAAAGTATGCGAACAAAAATGTTCTTTGCTGTTGTAACTTATCTGAAAAGTTCGATGAAACAGAGACAAAGAGAATACGAGGGTTTTGCGATAGATGACACACTGACTTAAAAAATAAAATTTTTAGATCACCCACGCTTTTAAAATCAAAGCCCGTCGAGATTTCATTGAACCACACGAAGTTTTTGGAATATTCAAAAAAGTATAATAGACTTATAGGCGATACAAAGATGAAACGGTAATGAGATCTCTGCGATTATTCTTTCCGCTTCTTTTTCGCGGCCCCGGCTGAGTCTTCGGCAGCTGTGCGACGAGCTGCATTTTGGTTCACGGCTTCACCTGTAGCATAAATCGAATACGATACATTTCAGTCAATTTCCAGGCGTAGAATAAAATAAAAAGATCTTACCTTGGATCCAACGAACTTGGATGGAAGGGCCGTAACCTTTCTTATTTCTGGCAGCGATGCGGAATAGAATGGCGGGCTTCGAAGATGCTCCTGTTGGGGTTGTGTTAGTCATGTGAGCATCGGTCAAAACGGCGGAAGGCACAAGACATGAACTCGCTGCTCCAATGTAAACTCTCTTGAATGCCTGAAAAGATTTCAGAAAATCAGAAAAGAAATACGTGTCAACTGGATCTTATACTGAGCCACTGTTGGGAGTCATTTGGGGCCTCTTGAGCTGGGCTAGAACAAACTTATCTGGCTTCATTACTGAACAATCTGATCTCATCGCAAACCTGGTTTGTTTTCCCGGCCGATATGACATTAGCTCCTTCAGAACTCTGGCCCTTCACTGCCAAGTACACGGAATATTCCATAACCTCATCAGCATTATCTTGCGGTGGATGCCACGACAAATGCACGCCTTCCTTCGTAGACGTAATTTTAACACCTGACGGAGGATTTGGAAATCCAGGAACAGTGGTTCTAAAGGTGGTTGCTTCGCTCCACGGGCCAAAACCGCAACTGTTGAATGCGCATACACGAACACGGTAGAATTCTCCGGGCTCAAGTTTTTGCACAGCAGTTTCGTCTATAATTTCGGCTGGCAGCTTGGAGATGTCAAAATGAGCTGTACTAAGTTCTTCAGATAAGTCTTGAGTCGTGTATCCCGTTACTTTGCACGAGTTCCCGCTGAAAATGCCGACAGAATGCCACGCACCTCCTGAAAGCTTCGGTGCGTCCGATGCCTTCAAGCAGAATTAGACAACATAACTTCAGCTTCTTATATCATGACTAGTCCACCGTCATTTACTCCACACGAGATAAGATGCGATTGCAAAAACGTTTCCCATGTGGAAAACCGATGATCCCCATGGGATGATCGTTCGGAAATCTGAAAAAGTTCACACTCACTTGCACTAGTCCCCCTTCATCGGAAGGAGCCGCAGCAGCCTTCACAGCTTCCGCAGCTAAAGTCGCCAGGGCGTTAGATACAGGTGTTTGTATCTCCGTGTTCTCCAACTTTGCACTCGATTTAAATGTTATGGAATCCATATCGGGGGTAGGAACCGCGATGGAATTCTTCTCCACACAATCACCGCTCTCAGACACTGATTTCACGGACTTAGATTCGTCAGCGTTACCAGAATTTAATTGAGACTGATCGGCCAGAGCGTCATCCGCTTGAATGGGGCTTGACAAATGCGGTCCTTTATAGTCCATCCTTGACACACAAAAAAAAGCAGAAGTCAAGAGAGCAGAAAGCACTTCCGCTAAGAGTTCGCATTGTTAAGAGTCATATATAATCTACCTAAGCATTCAAAAATCACATTTTCACATACAGTACTGTACTGTATTTCCAAAAACAAGATTTGCTGAGGCCTCATGGCTGGTCTACAGTTAAGCCAGATAATTACACTCCAGGATTTGGTACGTGAGTACTTCAGTCAATTGGTTAAACGTGTCCTCAGTATTGCTTGATAACAAGCTATTTCCGGCAAATCGACAAGCAATTTATCAGAAATTTGTTTTTTCTGTGAAAATTAATTTTAAAACTGTATAAAATTTTCCTGGTAATTCAAAAGTTAGTCACTCATGTACCGACGTATGATATTGCTTAGAAAACGTTTGGTGCGCTCTGTACGGCAATACTGCAACTACCCCTGACACCATGCATGAGTGAACTTCTCCCCGGAGCTCACATGTGAGCTGCCCAATTTACGCTGCTCCCCCTTCCCCCTGCCTCACTCCCTGAACCCATCACTCTCTCTATGAAGAAAAATCATGAGAGACTTCAGAAGGCCTGTTTGAATAGGTATAAATAGTGTAGTAGGAGAAGTACTATCAACTTACAATTTTGATGTCCATATAGGAAGGGCAGCATTGAGAATGAATAAGAATAAATACAATATAAGAACCCTTTAATAGCAAATTTAATTCAGACAATTTCTCATTGCATGTACTCAACTTTTATAATCCTGGGCAGACCTACCTGCAATTCCAAAGCGGAATACTCAGCGCAGCTGGACAGATTCCAAATCCCTGTCACAGCCTTACAAGCCCTGCCACGTCCCCCTGGCATAGCTCCTTCTCGTGAGCTGGCAACAATCGTCGAAGACCCACAGCAGATCCCCATCCTCCCGCCAAAGTGGTTTGCCAACCTGCACAGCCCGGACCTGCCGAAGCAGAACAAGAATGAGGCCTTCGAAGACTACGTCATCCATCTTTGCAACCTCCCGGCAGTTGACAACATCACCAAGGTACACCTGATCCGTTGCTTGCTGCAGAACACCTTGCCGCACATCCAGAGCACGGCGAATCGGCACCACAAGAGGGGAACCACCAACTTCAACCAACTCGTCGAAGTGATCACCCAAAGACATCCCACGCCTCATCTGGACCGCCTTGAAACCTTCCGCTGCATGAAACCGGAGCCCGACAAAAGCTACTTCAGTTTCGCCGAACGCATGCGGGACCAGTACAAAGCATTCCTCCGCTTCCCTCCGAACCTGCTCAAAATGGGAGAGCCGTTCCTGCAGCAGATCTTCATGGAGCAGCTGTTCTTCATCTCAGACGGCGGCCTGAAGGACGAACTGCAAAAGAAGTGGCTCCGGCAACCTACGATGACCTGGGACTACATGATCAAGATCGCCAAATAGTATCGACTCAACCACCGCGTCTGAAATTCATCATCATCAGGTACCGTGAAAAACAACTTCAGACACCAATCATTGCTACCACCTTGCCAATGGTGCCAGCACCACGGTTGTTACATGCAGCACGGCAGCCACGAGTGCCGATTACGCCCCAATTCGAATACTACATTGCGAAATGAAAACCCATCTTTGAGTTCCGTGGCTCCCCAGACAAATACGAATACTATGCGTTCAAATAATGACTCGGGTGCTTCTCTTTGTTTTCATTGCCAGAAACCTGGCCATTTTTTAAGAGATTGTCCGCAGATCCAGGGAAATGCCAAAACTGCACAGTGAATGCGGCGCACTGTGCTTCCTTGGAACTCTCAGCCGCACCTCCTCCTATCGTGCTCCAGCTTAGCATTTCAGGTCAGAATTTATCCGCGCTCCTGGACACTGGAGCATCACATTCATTTATCTCAGCAGATCTTGTGAGTTTACTTAAATTACAGACTGATTCCTCCAAAATTGCAGTACAGACCGCTCTTGGCGATAACGCTCTTCAAACGAATTGTTTGGTACAGCTAGATTTCATGTTTCATGGGACGAAGATGCGTGCTCTGTTTATCGTATTGCCTAAACTCTCTGAATTCCCCTTAATCTTGGGACAAACAACGCTCGCGCTCTTACCTCTCACGGTTAACCTGGACGGTCAACGTATTTTTACCGGGTTTCAGGAAATTACGGCGGTTCCCGCACAACCGACCATGCCCACAGGGCATGGCATAAATTTTGTTGACAGCACCGCGGACGAAAGGGGTCAAATTGAACGTATTCTAACGCAGTACGAATCCATAGTGTATCAATGGTCCGGTCGCAGGGGCCTGTTCGTGGATCACATGGGGCAATTACCGACGATAGAGGCTGCCCCCCCCCCCGCAATGCAGCAGTACCGCCATTCTTCCAATTGGCATAGGTCTTTCGCGGAGTTGATAGATCTATATCTAGAAGATGGTATCTTAGAATTAGCGGAATCGCCCTATAATTCTCCAGCCTTTTTAACAACAAAAAAATGTCTTGACCAATCAGCCCCAGTTCAGAAACGCTGGCGGCTAGTGGAGGATTATATGGCGGTGAACAAAATACTAATTGCAGATCATTATCCAATGCCAGTAATTCAGGAATTGTTAGACGCGCTCGGCAGAAACAACCAGTACTTTTGTACAATAGAACTTCATTCCGCATTTCATCACGTCCCGTTAGCACACGAGGACAGACCTAAAACGGCGTTTACCACCCCGCGGGGACAGGTCCAGTACAAAGTTCTACCCTTTGGTTTAAAAACGGGACCCGCGATTTTTCAGAGAACGATCAATACGATCCTGTGGAAGCATTTGAACCGGCGCTGTTTAGCATCATATATGGACGATATCATCGTCTTCGGCAAGAACTTTGGTACGCTCTGCGAAAACCTTGCGGAAATCCTCAAAACCTTGCATAAAGCGGGAGCAGCTATCGACATCGAAAAGTCAAAATTTTTAGCTAAGAAACTTGTTTTTTTGGGGCATGAAATTGATCAAACCGGAACGCGACCGGCGGAAAAGAATGTCACCGCAGTGCGCAACTTCCCGCGTCCGGAAACTACGCGACAAATGTTACGCTTTTTAGGCATGGCAACTTATTTGTGCGCACACTTGCCAACCAATTTTGCTGACGCGGAAAAATTACTTCGCGGGACGATTCCAAAAAAACCGGCGGTGAAACTTGACTGGAAACTGGACTCTCTCCAGGCATTCGATCATCTCAAAGAAGTTCTTGCGGATACAGCAAAACTCAAAAGAGTGGACCCAAAACTGCCAATCGCGGTCCATTAATTGTGACGCGTCGTCTACGAGTCTAGGGGCGGTATTGGTTCAAACCGACGAAACCGGATCAGAGCGAGTGGTGCAATACGCAAGCAGGGTATTAACCAGAGTGGAAACCCGCTATACGAATACTGAAAGGGAGCTACTCGCAGTGGTATGGAGTGTGACAAAGAAATTTTGTCATCATCTGGAGCATCGCAAGTTTACGGTTAATACAGATCACAAAGCACTCCTCGGGGAGCTGAAAACAGAACGGTTGATTAGTATGCGCATGAAGTTAGCTAGTTTTGATATGCAATTAGTTTATAGACCGGGCAGCATGCTTCAGCGGGCCCCGACACTCTTAGTCAAATTTCGCTGAACGCAGCAGAAGCGCGTATGATCCCGCCTATTGAGGACAGACGGGACATTATTGCAGCGTACCACGAGGAGTTGGGACACGCGGGGTGGAAAAAAGTGTACCAGACCCTACGCGAACGTTTTTTTTGGCCCAAACTCAGGCAAGACGTATGGCGGCAAATCCAATCTTGCTCCCTATGTTTTCAGTACAATATTCCGACCCAAAAAGTGGGCACCGAGTTGAGGTATATTAATTCGACAAGACCGCGAGAAAGGCTCACACTCGATTTTTATGGCCCGCTGCCCTATACCCCGGAAGGATTTTGGTACGCAATATAGTCGCAGTTGACCATTTCAGCAAATTTATGTTCGCGCGCCCAGTGTTAAAAGCCAACGTTACAACGGTAATACCCTTCATTTCAGAAATTTTTCAGCAAACCGGGGAATTCGAAACAGTCCATACGGATTGTGACTCAGTATTTAGAAGTAATACGTTCCGACTTTTTTTACGAGGGCTCGGCATCAATCAACATGTCACGCAAGCTACTCACCCGGAAGGGAACGGATGCTGCAAACAAGCAATCCAATCCTTGATGCAACTGCAGTCAAAGGCTACCAAGGGAAAAGAAGATCAATGGGAACGTCACTTACAAGAGTCAGTCAGGGCTTACAACATCACGCCTCACGCGACAACTAATCAAACCCCTACCAAAGTAATGTTTGGATTACCTCCCTGCCTAAACGCCGACGATCAGTTTCAGGTACCGGACTTAACTCCAGAAAAGCAACCACAGTGGCCAACCGCAGAAAGCACAAAAGCCAGGGAAGAAGTCACCAACCAGGCAAACAAGCAGAGAAATCGACACTTCCGGCCTGGGGAAATGGTGGCAATTTGCCCACGTCTCCCAACAGTGAACACTCACGCGGCAAATCGGCGGTTTCGTGTTCAGAAGTTGGGTCCTTATATGGTACTTTCTTATCAAGGCAACAGCGAGTATCGCATCGGCGCGGGTCCAGATATTATTAGAGCCAACGCATGGGAAATGATTCCGTATCGCAGACTCCCGCGAGAACCGGCGACTTCTTATCGTACCTTGAGCCAAATAATGGAACTGGAGCAAACACCAAAAATAGCTCCGCCGGACCATATTTACGCAAAAGACCCGGGTCTGCGCCCGCCTGATATAGTAATCAATATGAACAGTGACCATCCTTATCACCAGCCAGCAGCGTGGTGCCCAAATCAGCAATCGGTCAAAACGGAACATCGTTATTTTCAAAGAAAAAGAACGGGTCGACGACACGCGAGTCGAAAACAAAAATTATCTCGAAAAACCCCTTTTTTTTCTTCGGGGGGGGAGAGTAAGGCATTACGATGACTTACTAGAGCGACATCTAGTTATATTACGTTTTACCAGTCACTCTTCCCAACTGCTTAGTTACACCTATCTCTAGATCAGCAGCACCATGGAGAGGAGGGACTGAGAGCAGCAGAAGGAAGTCATTCTGTTCTTGGACCTGGACTTGTACAGTCCTTCTGACCTTTCAACCCTGACTCAGTGTTGTGTTGTGACGTCCATGAACTAAACTTGTACTTCAAGCCGTGATCGAAGATTTATTCCCCGAAACTCTTACTATACCCAGTGAAGCTTCGACAGTCTTTCAAAACTGGACTGTAATCGAGACATTTTTTGACGTTGAAGAATGGATTGGAATTCTTGAAGTGTTCTTCTCATTTTCATTGTTTAGAAATGTTTTATTGCCGGAGTCTAAAACTTTCTTGAGCGTTGAAGGCTTTAGTAAATAAGTGGAACACTACTCGCTTCCGAAGATTTTCGAGTTTCAAACCACTGTGCTGTCCCCGTTATGTATTATATGACACCTGCGACGTGCCTTTCCATCTTCTTGTTCTTGGTATGTATATGGGTCTGACGTCCATGTGATCTTCTTATTTTCTGAGAATTATTTCGTCCAGCATTCATCACTGATAGCCGCTGCGGCTTCCGGTGCAGTTCAGCTAACAGAATCAAATATTGATGCGATTTTAGGTAAGATCATTTTTAGGATTTGAAGGCAAATTTGTGCAATGCTTGGTCTCTTCATTTCAGCCTCCAATGACATTGTCTTCATCAACTTTTACGCTGACTGGTGCCGCTTCAGCAATATGCTGGAGCCGGTTTGGAACGAAGCTGCTGATAAACTGGTGGCAGATCTCGAACCAGGAGCGAAAGCTGTGATGGGTAGAGTTGACTGCGACAAGGAAGGTATGGTTCTATGAAAGTCTTGAGTTTCAATTGGTTCCTTTTATTAAAAGTTTGATGGTTTTCGCAGGCAATGTCGCAAGACGTTACCATATATCGAAATACCCGACCCTGAAATTGATAAAGTTTGGACAGCTCGCGAAACGTGAATATCGAGGTCAGCGTTCAGCGGAAGCTTTCGTGTCTTTTGTGAAGGAGCAGATACGAAACCCCATAGCACAGTTCAAGAATCTCGACGAGTTGAAGGAAATCGAGGTGATATTTTCAGATTCTGTTTTTCGATTTATAATACTGTAGTTACAATTGATTTTTTTCTAGAAAAAGAAGCGGCACATCATCGGATATTATGAATCCGACTCCAGTCCAGCCTACATGGAATTCAAGAAACTCGGAATGCACCTGAAGGACGATTGCGACTTTCTCGTCACTTTTGAGTGAGTTTCTCTGCGGAAATTCAGTTATGGTTGAGGCAGAAGGTGTTTATCTCGTAAATGAACGAGATTTGAAGTTAGTATGCGTTATGACAGTTTTGTCTAGATGAAGGAGCGAAATTAGTCCTTTTGGTGAGGCTAGTCAGATTTATGGGGAACTTATTGTCGCTTTCTCTCACGTTATTTCATCTTGGTTTAGTTGATGTGCCATAATTTTATCGACGGCCCGTGTGTGCTTTATGAAGAGGTTCCCTCATCCTCTGGGGTTTCAAAATGTGTTTGTACAATTTATTGTTATTTTCTAAGACCGGTTCCAGTCCGACCGTTGTCTGGGAATCTGTTGACTTTCCGACCGCCTCATTCGGACGGCGAAAAGGACGAAGTGTTTGCCGAAGATTACACAGATTTCCAAGGAATGCTCAAGTGGGCCACAGCTCGATGCATTCCCCTGGTGCGCGAGATTACCTTCGAAAACGCAGAGGAATTGACAGAGGAGGGATTGCCGTTCCTCATCCTTTTTCATCACCCCGATGACGAGAAGTCTGTGGCGTTGTACAACGATATCGTTCTAAAAGAACTCTTGGACGAAAAAGGTTTGCTTTTTGAGATAATTACCTGTTCCTGACTTTTTGAGTCTGGTTTATCATGTTTTAAGATACAGTTGATCAATAACTCGAACCCCTACGTCGAATTTTTTTAAAGTCCCTGTCTGAATTTTCTTGAAAACGATGCATTAAAAACCTCCCCGACTCGAAGGTTTTCCTGCTCAAACCTCCATAACTTGAATTTCCTGGAGGCCTTTTGAAAAATATTGAATTGTCACAGGAGAAATAAAAGCTATAAAAATGTAACAATGTGTTCTAAAATGTAATGTTTGACTTATTGGGCAAATGAGCCCATGCCTCCCAAGTTTAGCATCCTGTCAAGTCGTTTAAAAAGCAGTTTGAAACCCAGTAAAGCACCAATCAGAATTTCCCGTGATTCTTTTCTGTTTCTTTTGACGATGATTCTCGTTTCCAAAGTGAGTTGTTCTCTAGTCTCTTGAAGTTTGGCGCTATTGTGCATCAACTTTTTTTTCGGAAGCCGCCAGAACCTGCTAGAAAAATATTGTTGGATGAAGTGGAGAAAAAGAAACTATGAGTTTATGCTGTTCTGAAGCTGTATCATTGTTCATCAGTCTGGGGAATCTCAAATTTTTTTCTGTGTTTTGCGTTGTTTTTGTTGTTGCAGAGGCCATCAATTTTCTAACTGCGGATGGTTTGAAGTTCAAACACCCGTTGCACCACTTGGGAAAGACGGAATCGGATCTGCCGCTGATTGCAATCGACAGTTTTCGACACATGTACTTGTTCCCAGATGCGTCGAAACTGGGTGTGCCGGGTGCAGTGAAGACATTCTTGTCTGATTTGCACTCTGGGAAACTGCATAGAGAGTTTCATTATGGACCAGATCCAGTTACTGACTCTAATTTACTGGAAGTTGCCGGAAACAACCAGGATGCTCAAAAGAAAGTGCCTACTAGTCCACCGGAGTCGACTTTTAAAAAGTTGGCTCCTTCTAAGAATAGGTACACCTTGTTACGGGATGAATTATGAGTGTGTTGTTTGTCTGAGAAATCAGAAAAATGGTTTTTGTTTTGTTTATGGGTGAAGTCTTTTTTTTTTTTTTTTGTGCTCGTGAATGACATTCTTTGGATTTCTTCCATGTGGGGATGTTGTTTCTTTCTGTTGAGCCCGGAGTTCTTCCCCTCCCCCTTTTTTTTCCTGTTGGCGGAATTTTTCATTCATCCTGTTTTTTTTTTTTAGACATTGAGATTGAACTTTTTTGTTGTTGTTGCTGTTGTGCGTTCAGTTTTGAGGTATCGACCTTTATTCGTATGGGTGATCAGGTCGAATATTATGCGCATCACTTTTCACTTAATTTCAAGAAGATAATTTTATAAATCATAAAACAAGTGAGAACGATTGAGTGGGTTTCGGTGACCTCAGGTTGGATACTGCTAGTGCGGTTTTTTTTTTTTTTAAGTTGTAGCAGTTTTTGGACAGTTTGACTCATTAAATTTTCGGAGGACCAGAACCGCGAAATCAACCCACTTGGAAAAAAATCATTCAATTCGGAATTTTTTAAATCACTTCTCGTCCTGATTAGGATTTGCCTAAAAATCTGTGTATATATTCATTCTACGTGACGTCGAGAGACGAAAAAGTCAGGGTTTCAGCCTGAATTCAGCTTTTTAGGATTTGCGATAATAATTTTAGGTTTCAGGTTATAGATTTTACGGTACGGTATCTTAAATTAGCCTTGAAACATATTTCGAACGGAAACGAAATTTTTGTTCTGAGATCACGAATTAGTGATCTTTATACTGATGGTCATGATTGATAAAATTTATGTCTAGATGAGTATTCAACTCATGAGACTGTGATGCACAAATATTCTCTCTTCTATCCATTCATCCGAACCGCTAAGGTATTTTTTTGCATGTTCGTGAGGCATTTTTTTTGGAACTCGTCTCTTAAAATAATTATGACTTGGGCATGGAAAATTAAGGTTCCACCGTTTTCCCTTTGATTTCATTATCACCCGTGTGATTTTCAAGCACATTCCAGGTTATGTTTAGAATCGCTTCGAATTGGTCGAAATCATGGCTTGCCAGAAAGTGTCCGAAAGGCGTTATTTTTCAAGAAAAAAAATGTGTGTGATCCCTAGTTCGACATTGATAAGAATCCTGTTGAATGAACATAATCTTGCCGGAATTGGGCTTGATAGCAGCAGATTTTCGAGTTTGGTTATTTGCTCATGAGTTGAAAACCAGCATTTTTTTTTTTTAGTAATCGTGTCGCGATTATTTGTTGGAAAGCTTGGTTTTCTTTTCCATCTGTGTAAATTGCCCGTGAGTCCCGAGATTGTTGTCAGCCGGTGGTTCTTTTTTATGTTCAAATTTATTGCTTGAATTGTAACGCATCGGAAAAGTGATAAAAACTTGGAAAATTTTGGATCCGTGGATAATTATTCCCCTCTTAATTATTTTTAGAACATGCAATGATTGCTGGCCATTTCTAAATTTGGAAATGATAGTTATGTTGGTAATTTTAATGGGTTATTTTCTGGAAGCATGCAAAAAGATCAACTGCACATGGGCCACTTAAAACACAATTGTACAGGGATTTTTTTTGAGGATGTCGTATCTGAGCAGCTCTTCTGCAACCCATCTCCAACAGGTGTAATACTGTACTGTATATACAGTACTGTAGTCCATTGTATATTCCTCCCAAGGAGTAAACACAAAATCGGTTACAACGAAGTTGTTGGAACTGGGGATGAGTACCTGTACACCGCTGTAAATATGGAAGCAGGTGTTGAGTGTGAGGAAGGACCCCCAGGTAATGTTGAGGTGTCAGTGGTCCGACGCTAGGTTCTCTAGTGAATTGCAAAACTTGGCGACCTCTAGTTGAGTTCAGTAAGATTGTCGGATAGGTTGATCCAGGAATTAAAGATTGAGTTGATCCGTGAACCTCGGTTGGCTAATATATTCTCTCGGACGGGTACAAGGTGATAGGACTTTTTCTTTCGTACACGACACAGGCACAGAATAACAGAAGATGTGGTTTGTTGCAGTGATCAGAACAGAGTGAAGTCTGCTTTGTGTTTCCTGTCCCCTGTGGTGAGTTTCGGCCTTGTGTGAGTCAGTGCTGTTTCCCATTAATTGGTTCCGTTAGGTTCCTTGGCTTTGTACTGCTCCTTGTCCTTGTATCGCCCTTCTGATTGTGGGGAGAGATAGTGGGAATGACTTTTGCGGATCTAACGGTGTTTTCAATGTTTAATCAATGGTTAGGATCTCTCACTGTTCGCTGTTCGGGTTCTTAGGGGATGTGGTTTTGAAAATTCCAGTTTCTTTTGCCAATTTTTTTTCAGCCTTTAATGCTGGAATGTTTTTCATTTAGTTTTATTGAAACCGTTGAACATCAAGAAGGGTTTCGTGTAGGAACAACAATGGAGGCCGGTTTCCCAATCGACCCAAATGGTTGTAAATCTTTTTATTGTTTGGTAAAATGTGTGTCAAATAATGTGGGATCGCTGCAGAGAGGATCGTCATGACACCGAGAGGGAAAACCTCTCATTCGACGGTCATCATGATGGAAAGGACAAGGTTATCGGACGCAGAAATCTCGTCTTCCGGGGCCCACGTTGGAGGCGGCGATAATCAAGGATTAATAATCAAAAAGAAGGCTCCTGAAGGTGAGAAAAAGAATCAACCCTCATTTTTCTAATACTCATGACAATTTTTAGATGACGTATTCGCTGATTATTTCATCACGTGATGATACACATTTTTCTGTAGAATTCGTCGACATGCCGCTACCCGCCTTGACTCTAGAATTCTGTGTGTTCCTTGTGAATCAAAATACCCAAAAGCACACGCAAGAGAGTAGAACGCTTCGATTCTGGTTCAGGGAAGGAGTCGGTGAACATGATCAGCAACGTTGTGCCCAGTCCTTCTTCACCGATTTGGTCAATCCAGCTGACTTTCCCAGAGGTAAGTTCGTTATGCCCGTGTGCTCTCTCGCATTTTCAAATACTGAGGAGTGAAATTATTTCCAGATTACATCGGATTCATCAAAAAAGTGATGAAGCTCATGCAGAAACCACATAAAGCATTGCTACGGGTCGAAATCGAACTACGCCAGATCGCCATTACAGATGAAGCCCCGGAAAGACCAAGCAAGTCATTTTCTGATTTTTCCTTGAAATTTAATTGTTCGCACGATTCTTCGGTTGCTCAAGCTTTCAGTGCACATTATTTTCAGCACGACGGGGCGGGATCTTGATTCCGATCAACCACAAATCAAATTCAGGTCTGGCAGCGTGTGAAGTGTTTGACCTTAACCCGCCTGTCGTTGATCTTAATCTTGCGTAGACTGCTAATTAAAAACCTTGTTTATATCTGATTATTTTATTGAGAACTTGTTTGTCATCTACAGCGGACCTTTCAATGGACGAATCTGGCTACGAAGCGCGCGCCTTGAGTGAACAAAAAGTCCTGGAAATGATCGAATCGTCGTATCCGAATCCAATTTCCGCCAAAGACATGGCCACGTGAGTTAATATGCGTCGGAATATCTATGAACCTCCTTGAACCTCTTTCAGTTGAACTTCAAGGGACCAGCAAAAAAAAAAGAAGAGGGGAAACTCGAAAGAAATCAGTAGTAATTTCGTTACCAGATCTGACTATTGTACCGATCTGCCTGATCTGTAAAAGCAAAGGACAATGTGTCGTGTATTCTCAGTTCAACGTAATCCAAATACAAGTGTATATCTCTTAATCGCTTAGGTTGCCGAAATTTATTCATTCTCCACGTAATGTTCTTCCTTTAAATTATCTTAGCCAAACACATTCGACGATCTCTGCTGTGGAAGACTTCGTGGACGCGTTGTCGTCTCGAGGTCTGGTTCGTCCTGTCGGGCCGGAAGGAGCGGGTTTGTACACCCGAGTGACCCAAGACGACTCGGATGTCCAGGTTGTTCGTCAAATGCCGACTATTGCCTCCACTGCTCAGCCGACCATCGCCATCATCACTGCGAACTACTGCGAAAAGCTGGCTGTCGACTCCATGATTGAGAACAAGCAAACTTACGTCCGCTACAACACCGTCGGTAGGTTTTTATTCATTTTTTAAAAAATGTGATTGGCGACTTGCAATCGAATGTCGTCTTTTTACAGGCGAAAGCAATGTGTACACATTGGGAAATATCGGTGTTCATCGAGTGGTTTGTACGAAACTACCGACTGTCGGTCATACCAGAAATGCCATGATTGCCGCTGGAAACACGACGACGAGACTTCTCGGCACATTCCAACAAGTTGAATTCGTTTTTCTCTGTGGTGTCGCTGGTGGAGTGCCGCATTACACCGATGGAAACGCCCACGTGCGTCTAGGCGATGTTGTGGTGTCTGGACTGAAGCAAGATGGCATTGCCCCGGATGGCAGGAATAAACGAGGAGTTTACGTTTATTTGGACGCGAAGAACAAGAAGAGGCGCGATGAAGAAGCCGATGAGGTGCAGCTAAGCTTGGACGAGTTGGTGGCTGAGTTTGAAGCCAAGTCGTGGCAGCCGCCGAGTTTGGAGTTGCAAGAACTGTGCCGCAAACTCAAGGAACACGTGAGTTGAATTATTTTTTTTCGTGACGTCTTTTTGAACCTCGCGAGAATGTGTGGTTTTTGAATTTTTTTTATTTTTCCAGTGGGAAGCTGGTGGCCAAGCACCTTGGTTGAAATACCTGGAGCAAGGGGAGCAGAATTGGCTCAAGACTGCGCAGGACACTGACGTTGAAATTTCTACTGACATCGATGCTGTTTGTGAAAAGAAAACCCTGAGACCGCCTGCTCACACTGACAGGCTCTATATGTCCATTGGGCAAATGGACGTGATCGAGGTCCAACATCCGGCTTTGCCTGATCCAAAGTATGCAAAGAATTTTCATGTGTCTTTTTGAAGAATTCTGTTTTTCTTTTTTGTGTATTGAACGGGATATTTGTGCATTTTTCTGTAGATTTGAAGGAATTCCGCGTATTCATATTGGGACTGTGGGCTGTGGTCGGGAAGTGATCAATGGAGGTTCTCAGTTGAGGCGTGAAATAGCGTCGAGACATGGGATCCGTGCGTTTGATTCCGAATTTGATCAAGTTTTGGAAAGTATTGTCGGTGAGTCATAAACTTACATGTCGTGAATCTGTGATCGGTAAAATCTCGTTACAACGAACCCTCAATAAAAGTTTTGAAGTACTTCTGCGACAGATACGTGAAGGAAAGTCATACTTTCCAATTTCTATCAATTAAATGATCGAGAAAACTCAAAATGTAAAATAGAGTGTACTTATATAAAAAGTTTCCTTTAATTTCCGCAGCATACATTGATTTTACCACAGTATGAACAGTTACGAACAGAAATTACACGTGTAAGAAGAGCATTTATTCATTACTACTGTAACTGTATGTTCTCCTGAAATCAAGCAGAATCCTTTCAAACATTTTTTTATCAGCCATTTTTAAAGTAAATGTCGATGAATTTTGATTATATCTTCATACTTCCTGCAATGCTTTCTTAGTCTGCCCAAAATGATGAGCATTTATATCTTTTTATGGTTTGTCAATTACGCACAAGTTGGATTTTCCAATATTGGGCCAATTAGTGACGATTTCTATTGTACATGCACGCATAATCAAAAGGAAAATTCTCTAAATGAGATAATAAAGAAAAATTAGTTGGTTATAGTAAAATTTTACAACATTGTTCCTACAAAGAATTTGCTGAGACGAAGAAAAAATTCTTTGTGACGGAATTATACAGTTTTTTGAGAACTCATCGTTATCTAAACTTTGAACTCTTAATTTAGGAAATCGCAAGGACTGTTGGGTGGCGATCCGAGGCATTGCTGACTACAGAGATGGCACTCGAGGCAAAGAATGGCAGCCGTATGCAGCCCTGGCTGCTGCAGCCTTCATGAAGACACTGGTTTGCACCATGGACGTGGCCAGGCAGTGAGAAATATCGGATCTGCCGCGTGTTTCTTTAGTTTTTTTGTTTGTCCGGAAGTGGCTATTATTTGCAGCTATACCAAGGATCAGAATGGCTTGATCGAGGTTCAGAATAAGCTGGGTGGGAGTTTTGAACAGTTTTGCAACCTTGCCCTTTTTTATTTAGTTATTGCTTGATTTGACCAATTTTTTTTTAATAAGAAAACTCACCTATTTAGATTGAGAATTGATCGGAAGTGTTGGTCTTCTCAAATGGATTGGCTGAAGCATTCTGCGATTATTTTTAGAGTGAAATACCAGTTGGGAAATGAGGCAGAGAAACTTTTGTGCAGTCTGTTCATTGCTCCCGTCTGTGTCTGATGAAGGAGCAGATTCACATGAAAGTTACAGGGAAGCCATTGTGACCGTTGAGGTTAATTTAGGGTGTCCAGAAGTTGTCCTGCTCGGCCTGTAACTCTTTCCGTGTGGCTAGGTGTCGCTGGTAGCTGAAATACCATGAAAGTTTCATTCAATCATTCCAAAGTTCATTATTTAACGTTTCTCATTTGTGAACGTGATCATTGTTACGTTAGATGGATAAGAAATGATGGGATTGGATTTTCCTAAACTTTGGAAAGAGCAAGAAATGCTGATTTGTCTTCTGAGCAGGATCTTTTCTGGACACCCTGTATCATTGAAGCGAACCGCACTCCAGGAAGGATACGTTCTTTTTTGGGGGTTACCTGGGTGGAAAAAGGTTCTTTCGAAAATTCCCTTGATCTGAGTATTTTGTCAACGACGGAAGCAACACCGGGTTTTGCCGAACCGAGCGTTACCAAAGCTGTTGTAGATATCAGAAATTGATTTTTTGCATGAGTAGCGTGTGCCAAAAGAATGAACTAGATTTCGAGTCAGCCGACGGTTGCAACAGAATGCTCAAATCTCCATTTATCCAGTCATTTGAGGGGGGAACTCATCTAAGTCCGTTTTAGTTTTCAGGTGGGCACTATTTTGTGACTTCGGGGCATTTAGGCATTTAGTTCATGCCGTATTTCACTTTGTAAAGGCACTTATTGGCAGCTGAAATTTTTTTTATGCAAGTACAGTATTGTGTTCAATTTGATTTTGTGTGGCTGTCTTTCGTTTGTTTGGTGTCAGCTTTGCCATGCATTAAAGACCAGACTCGACTTTTTCAATAACCGCCTCGTGTTTTTGATTATTCAATGTTCGTGACTGTGTTGCTGATCACCGAATTTTGCAGTTGATTTTCTTTTTTTTTTTTGAAGCTTTTGTGATGAGAAGTTGTGCGATGGTCGCCAAACAAGCATGGCATAGTTTCAAATGCTCCAAAGCAGAACTGAATCTTGCTGTGACTTTGAAGTGCGGCCAAAGTTTCAGGTGAATTTATTTTTTGTCGTTGCGCCTTTTTTTCGCGATTGATCATTTCATTCCCTTTGTAAAGATGGAAACAATCCGACGATGTTTGGATCGGTGTGGTGGGGCAGGAATTGTGGAAATTGCGTCAAGACGAGGAGAGTATTTCGTTCCAAGTTCTTTTTGCTGAGGATGAAAAGCATCAGGAGATGCGTGTGAAAGACTATTTTAGGATGGATTTCAATCTCGTTGAAGCGTATTGCGATTGGGGAGGAAAGGATGTGAATTTCGGGGCTGTGTGCAAACAATTTCCTGGTGTTCGAATGCTGAGACAAGATCCTGTGGAGAATGTCTTCAGTTTCATTTGTTCCTCCAATAACAACATTGAAAGGTTGGTGGGATGAATTGTAGTTTTCAATGAGGATTTTGTGTATAAAAATTCTTTCTTTCATTCTGCTGAGGAAACTTCATCAAAATGCTATAAATACAACTTCGTTTCTTTTCGTATAAATGTGAATAAAAAGTTTTCAAAAAAAAAATTTAAATTTAAACATTGAAAGGTTTTGGTGGGATGAACTGCAGTTTTGAATGAAAAGTATGCATATGAAAATCCGTTCATTTATATGCTAAGGAAACTGCAAAAAAATGATGAATGGAACTTTGTTTCTTTGATATAAAGTTAAATAAAAAGTTCTCAAAATTTTGTTTTCAATTTTCTCATTCAGGATTTCCCAAATGGTGGAAAAGCTGTGCGTAAACTATGGTGACCCACTTCGCGACTCTGATGGTGAAATCTACTACACATTTCCTACAATTGAAGCATTGTGTAAGCCAGGAGTTGAAAGCAAACTCCGAACCCTGGGTTTTGGGTACCGAGCGGGTTACATTGCCAAGTCAGCTGACAAAATAGTCACAAAGGGGGGCCGGGATTGGCTGCTTTCCTTGCGGAAATTGGATTACCAGGAAGCTCACAAGTCTCTGCTGGAGCTGACTGGAGTTGGGGCCAAAGTGAGGATCATTCTTGATTTCATTCCTGAAAACTGCATCAAGTGCTCATTATTTATTGTATAACCTTGCCCTTCTTTTTCTGAACATATAAAGGAGTGAATGCAGTAAAATATCTTTACAAGGTAGCTATAAATACAGTACTACTGCAACAAATTTTCAGTACAGATAAATCTCACTACAACAAATACTATTATGCAACACATTTTCTTGGTGAAGTGCAACAAATTTTACAACACATTTTTATAACAAAATATTCAGTGTAAAAAACTTCTTCTCAAGTCCTGATGACAGAAAGCCCATAGATTAGATGTAAAAACAATCTTGTATCAAACTTCCCTATTGTAGTAACAAACTTTTTTGAGAAATGTTTAATAGATTCTCCAGCTGATTCATGAAAACCCCTAGCACATATAACAAGAAATTGAATGAAAAGATCAAAGCTTTCAAACCAATGATGCACAGGATTTAATTCTCAAGAGTGAGATAAAATGTTTCAGATTCTATGTTTTACATCAATGAATGACAAGTGAATTTATTTTTTCCTATGCACTTCTCAGTCTCCAAAGTAGTCAACAGTAAAATCTCATTACAAAAAATCTCATTACAACAAAATTTTCATTGTAACAAACTTGTCTCAAGTTGTGGCAGAAATTCCCTAGAGTACTGTACATGTTTAAAGATCTCATCATGAAAAACTTGCCTATTCCAGTCTGACAAAATTTGTTGAGGAATGTTTAATGGATTCTCCAGATGTAAATTTTCTAACTAAGAAAAGCACAGTCTCAAATTTCTGCTCCCAAATGTACGAGGGTTCTAACAAAAGTTCTCGGAGTAGCAATGAAAATGGCCTACAATTGAGCTGGAAAAAATTTATTCTCTAGCCAAAACATATTCTTTGGCACACAAAAAAAAATCAGCCCGGTTTGACAATTTTTTTCAATTTTTTTGCAAAATTCATTCATATAGAGTTTTGCTCTCCACTCAAAAAATGAGGCGCCCTTTTTTTGTTGTAGCCCAGCTTTCCCCTTAGAATTGGGCTACAACAAAAAAAGGGCGCCTCACTTTTTGAGTGGAGAGCAAAACTCTATATGAATGAATTTTGCAAAAAAAAAGAAAAAAATTGTCAAACCAGGCTGATTTTTTTTTGTGCCAAAGAATATGTTTTGGCTAGAGAATAAATTTTTTCCAGCTCAATTGTAGGCCATTTTCATTGCTACTCCGAGAACTTTTGTTAGAACCCTCGTAAGTGACTGGTTCTTATAGCATGGATGGAATTAATGAAAAACATGCTTGCAAGTGGTTTCACACAACATCCTCCAAAAATAAAAATAAATATTTGTGCAACTGTTGGAAGGCGTGATTGAAGCTAATATTTTTTCAGGAGATCGTTCAGTTTTTCAAACTACTGTAAATTATCTGAGAATGCCAGAAAAGCAAGATCTATTTTATCATAGGCAGGTGTGATGTAAAAAAAAATTAAATATCAATTTTGAAAATCTTGTAAAAAATTATTCAGTATAAAAACTCTTTCTTGAATCCACGAAAGTATGTTGTAACGAGATTTCACTGCATTCGTAAAAATCTTTGGTACTTCTGGAACCATGCTAAAATTGTGTGAAATTCCAGCTGAAAGTGCTGCTTCAATATTTCTCCTGTCTTCGCGCTGATGATAAAGACCAACTGTGAAAATGGGGTGTTGGATCTCGCCGCGGTTATTTATTAATGCTCTCAGTCCGCCATATGGTGTTTCAGGGATAATTAGTAGGCATATAATCAACACAGGATAATTAATTGCAGTCATCAGATCCTCCTTTTCCGGCCGAGGTTCTGCTTCACTGACTTTCCGAGTTCAAGTGATGCGGTAGTGGATTAAGTAGGATTCTTGGATATCAGAGACCGAATCGATTGTTTCCTCTGATTCTCCCGAGTCACGCTTTTTCGCTTTCAGAGACGGAACACTTTAATTAAACCATCAGGTGTTTCTCTGGGCGGGATAATCGTGGAAGTTTAAAATAAATCGCTAGCTCAAAAATGTGAATCCTGACCTACGAGATATTCTCAAGTGTATGGTTATACTGTACTGTATATTTTCAATTGAGTAAATTGCAATGCGGACGAATGTATATTGAATATTTTTTTGGGACAGGTCGCGGATTGCATTTGCCTCATGTCCCTGGACCATCTGGAGGCGGTCCCGGTAGACACTCATGTTTTCCAGATTGCCGCCAGGGATTATCTCCCGGAACTCCGCGGCACCAAAACCGTCACTAGTCGGATCTACAGCCTTATTGGCGACCACTTCCGGGATCTCTATGGGCTACAAGCCGGATGGGCTCATTCGGTACGTCACTGAGAGATGAGAGTATATGATTGGATGGATGATGGGCAGCATTTGATTAAACCCTTCCCTACTGCAGTATATACAGTATATATATATATATATATATATATATATATATATATATACTCATGATGGGCAGCGAAATCGTATCCGTTTTGGCAATTTCTGTATTATTCTGATTTTTTTAATGTTCAGCGGAGAAGATGAAGAGGAATTGCGAAGGTTTTTAGAGTTTTTATAAAATGTATGGATGCATGACAAAGAACTCAGAAATTAGACGAGAAATCGGATTGCAGCAAAAATTTCATTACAATCCTGGGAACCTGCGAAAAATTTCTCATCCTTTAATCAGTTTCACGATTCTTTTCATGTAGCAGAGAAGAAGAGAAAAGGAATTCCAAAGGGTTTTAGACTACACATAAAATGTATGGATGTATGAAATATATTAAATGAAATATCGGAATGTAATAAATTTAGTTACAACGAACTCCCAAATACCTGTGGAAACCCCCTTTTAATGAGTTTTGTGATTATTTTCTATACAGAAGAAATGAAAGAGGAACTGCGAACGCATTCAAATTTTTCATAAAATTATATGGATGCATGATGAGTAATTCATAAATTAAATTAGATACAGTATTTCAGTAAAAAATTGTTACAGCAATACTCATATATACATATATATATATATAGGGACTTGTGAGCATCTATATATATATAGGGACTTGTGAGCATCTATTTGAATAATGAGTTTAATGTTTCTTGGAGCATTTATAGATATGAAAATTCGTGGAAAATGGTTAATAAATGCGGTAAAGAGCTTTCACAACAGATATTTGAAGAATTATCTTTTGATAAATTAGTGGAGAAAAATTAAAATGGTGAAATAAGATTATCATACTTCAGGCCTTGACTTTCTTTTAAAACTCCTTAAAATGTACCAATCTTGCTGAATTATAAACTGAAAATAACTAATGTGCGTTCCTTGAAATAGAGAAATATTATTTCGAACATGATGTTTATGTGGGAATATCAGCCAATTCTAAATAACATATGAGAGCATCATGCCTCATATTACCTACAATGCCACATTTTCTGTTCACAGAGATAAGTATTGTTTTTTAGAGTTTTTAATGATGCGCAAGTTAAATTTTTGAATTTTTGTCCCGAATTTTAAAAATTTATTTAGCCCATACACGCACAATTAAGGGGGAAAATTCGTTTTAAATTACTGACATAATAAAAGAGAATCCTTTTTTTTAATTTATAACTTTTTGCCTATGAAGAAACTGCCCGGACCAATAAAAAGTAATTCTTGAAATCTTGTATTCGTTGTAACGGAACTTAACTGAAGTTTAGCCTATGAAAAGAGCCACTATATTGCTGGACTCGACGTCGTCATAATGATCAGCTAGCTTTTTGTTGAATCATGGAAACACGTGCAAAATCATGGTAAATTGGAGAACTTCATTTCAAAATTTTTCCGGGATAATCAAAGTGGATGACTCTGCATAAACCTTTGAGAAAACAAGTGTACAACAGTACTTCGTCCATTTTCCGCGAGGTTCCTTATTAATTTTTAATTTCCGAGTTTCCGATTTTCACAGAGAATTTAAAAATCACTTGATTTTTTTGGAATAATGAATTTTCCTCTCCTCTTTTGTCGAAAGGTGCTTTTCTCTGCGGATCTCAGGAGATTTGCGGACCTGAAATCGGCGGAGGTTAGAATCGAAGTAGGGGAAACCGGGAAAACTGATGTTTCATCAACACCATCGAAGAAGAAAAGAAAGCGTTGAAGCGGGTTTTGAATTTTTTTTGTGTGGTTTTTTTTATATGCCATTGTTTTTTTTTTACTATATTTTTTTCAAGACTTTAGTGTACATTTGAAACCGAGCTTTTGTTCTACCCTGTTTTGTTTACACTGTCAAGTCCCTGCACCCTTTGAAACAGGATCAAGTTCCGCGAGTTGTGCATTGGGGAAGGAAGAAAAGAATAAAAATAAAAAACTTGGGCTTTCAGCTGCGATGAGGAGCCATGTTTTCTGCCATTTCATTTCGCTGCTCCGGTTTGAACACTTGGAAGTGAATTTCCCTCGGGAGCCATTTGTATTTTTCTGTGTTTCAAATTTCCGAGTGCTACGATTGTGAAAAATAGATTTTTTTCTTACGAAATATGATGAGAATGCCGGAAACGAACGTCGCCACGACCTCGGGAGTCCAGTGCCGGAAGTTGGGTCGGGGGTTGACAAGGGCTTTCCAATTCGTGAGTCTTCCGGATTATAAATACTCCCTGTATTTTGTGCGAAATGGGGAAAATATGGAGAGGTTTAAGAGAGAGAGACGTTTCTAAATTATTTAGTGCGGCAAGACTTTTTTCAAGTAAGTAGTTCGGGTATATTTTGAACTTTGCTTTCTCCGGAGTACGTGGTTTTTACTTCGTGTTGCGTAGATGTCGCCCGAATCGTAAATTTTTTTTAGGGATTTCTTCATATCAAGTATTCATTTTTCACGCGTCGACAAAATTCAATAGACCTTGATTCGTGTTGAAATTTTTTCCGATTTTATTAAATGATGAGTTGCTTAATGTTTGTGATTTGTTTTGCTAAGTTTGGTGTTGTACTAGATCCAAGTAAAGAAAAGGCTAGTCGTTTATGTATTTCAACAAGGTTTAGGGTCAAATTGAGTGAGATTCAGTGTCGATTTAAATTACGGTCTGTGCCGTTTGTTCGTAAATTATGTTCGGTGATTTCAATTCCAGCAGAGGTCGTTCATGTTTTATTTAACTAAGATTTGGTATTAATTTGAATAACAAGCTTAGTTTTTACTTGTGGTCGCAGGTTTTTGCATTTGAGGAAGTTTTATTTAAATTGTGGAGTTATAGATACAGAATTTGTGTGACAGGTGGTGTGTAAACATCAGAAGTAATGTACAGTACTGTGTATGAAAAAATATGGCAATGGAAAATGAAATTACAAGATAAAAATTCTTCGGGAGTTTTTCTAAGTGGATTTTTATATTATATGCTATTCAAGAGACAACTCGACTGGACATTTTGAGGCAGGGACACTTTCAGCCAGAGGCAATTTCAAGATAGGGACAATGCACAATATGAGACGGGAAAATTTGAAACTGGGATGATTTGAGACAGGTAGAATATAAGACACCGGGACAATTAATGACTGCAAGAATGAGACAGCTAAGGTTGATATACATCTTAACCTTCAATCTTGTACCATCTGCTTATTAGCTTATACTTTTTTCCATCACATGTGTACATTATTGAGATTGTTCAAAAGGGTTGAGGAGAGGAATGAAACCATACGCAGGAGAAGCTATATTTTTTTTTTATAAAACCTGCATATCTTATGAACATTGCACCATTGCATAATTATCTCACAGTTCTCACACTGAATTTAATGAAATGAATGTATAAAAGGCAGGGAAAATGGTACAGGACTAGCTGATTATGTAGCTCACACAAGGCTTTCTTGAAGAATCCCAGTCTCAATTCTTGAAATATTTTGAAATGTTTTATAAATAGTCTCTCTCAGAATGTTCCTGTCTACAGTAATCTCTGTCTTGAATGCTGTTTCTTGAAATGTCCCATAGAAACATTGTGATTTTTTTTTTCATGTAGGTCTGTGCTTTGGTGCCAGTAGTGTTTCTGGTCACCTTTGACAGCGCCTTGACCATGGTCTACAAATGTGGACTGAGTGCAGATGAACCAACTTACACTCAGAAACTCCCTGTTGCATTTCCTTATAGGTAAGATGTACACACTGTACACGTCATCAATGTGTTCCCATATATGTTCTGTGATATGAGGGATATTTTTCTGTCGCATGGGAAATGTGTGTTTTTGTTGTGTGGAGAAAATGGAAATTTTGTGTGAACTGTTTCATATGTCTATTTGAAGCGGACTTATTGATACAAAACTTGGGTTTTGATGGCATGAATGCTGCTGGTTTTGTGTTTTTTCTCACTTATTAAATTGGGACGATCTTCAAAATGTATAATTTGTGTCATCTGCGCTGACCTGAAAATTGTTGGAAGCTGAAAAAAAGTATTGCTGAAGGCACAACATGTTATAGTTTCTTTCTACAAATCACAAGATGCTCAGCTTTTTCATCAAGTCAAGAATTATATACACTCATGTCATGAACATATTCTTCTACTTCATGTTTAATTAATAGGGATGTACAAGAAATACCTGGTATGGGGTGACATCTGTGGTAAAGGTTCCATTCAGCAAATGTATGGGAAATTGCTTTACAATTTAGAAATTCCTTTCAAAATTATATACGTATTCAGAATTTCTGATCACTTTCAACTTCAAGCTTCAGGCATTCTTGGCTGCATGAATGATCACAAAATATAGTGGAAGTGTTGAACTGATGCATGATGACATTATATATAGATAGTTTCAAAAAGTGATGTAATGTAAATAAAATATTTGAAAAATTGTTTTTTAGTTGATCTCTCCAATGCTTTTCCCAGCAGAGCGTAGTTAAGTATTTTTTTTTGTATTATTCGTTTTAGCTTGGAGACGAGTTTTGCATTAATCAGGCCTTGCGGTTGTGACCTGCCTGACCCGGGTTTTGCGGGTTTGGCAATTGTGACAGTTGGCTGCTTTTCAATGCTTTGGCTTATGACTTTCTTCACTGTCGACTGGCTGGAATTCGCCTTTGGATCCAGGCCTCCTTTCAGATTTTTCGTGAGTATACATACACCATTTTGGCCATTCGAAATTTAATTTCGCGAGACTATATATAGTGTGGGAAGTGTCGGGAAGGTGTCGCCTCGGTGTCAGTGTTCAGAGGCGCGACACCTATGAAATGAAAAGGATAATGACATTAGTTGAGGACATTAGATGCTGAAGCAAACTCTGGGAGGGTAAAAAATTATCTCCTAGGCATCTTTATTTCAATTATAGCCATATCTAAATTTTGAAATAAATCTGTAAAATGATCCATGCTTCATACTTTCTGCTGTTCTAAATTTCATGGACAAGAAAATTAGTTAATTAATATTTTTACTGTTTTTTTTTGTGTGTGCAGAGATTCGTAGTTTGTTTATTCGTAATGATGGGCTGGCTGGGCGGCACAGTGATTTGGGGTGTTGGCATGTGGTACATCACCTCAGTTGGTGTCAGTGGGTTTCAAGCGACATCTACATGCACAGGACGACTTTACGTGCTTGAGGCAGGTTCTGACAAGAGTTTTGTGCCCCTCTATCTTGCACTGGTGAGTTTCATTTACAATGCTGGCACCTTATCATTTCAGACTGGATTATAAAAAAAGAAGACTAGGACAGATGATGCAGAAGTTCTTATGCTGTTGATGAAACTTGTTTTTCAACATCTTTATTTTTGAAAACGTGATCTGAAATTAACAATTCTAGCATGCTATGTCAAAATACTTTGAAGCTGGATGCATTATCATCACCTAGATATTGTAATGATTCAGATTTTTGCAGCCTGCTTTTCCTGTTTGATCATCAGTATTGTTTACTCATATATGTCATCTGACCATCTTTCTGTTTGTGTGTGTGTGTGTGTGTCAAGTACAGTACAAAACAAACTTCAATAATTAAGCATTTATTCCTTGACAGATACTTGGCTTAGGACAGTTGTATAGTTGATGTTGGACTGAATTTAAAAAGTATTGAAATCTTCTTGGAGTGTTTCATGATTGCAAAAGTCTTGGCAACTTTTAAAATTAATCACAAACCTATACAAACTCCAAATCAAAGAGGTTGTCTTCAAGTATCTATACATAATAAGGGGTTATAGAAAGCAGAAGCCATTTTTAATTGAATAAAAACAGGAAACTGTCATTAAATTCATTACTTTAAGTACTGTAGCCACATTTTTTTTTTTAGATTTCACTTTGAAATTTTTGTTTCTCACAGTTGCACATTTTTTCAAGGTTTAAGACTATATGCAGAATTAAGACAGCATTTATACAGTAGTACATGAAAATATAGCTCAATTTTTTTGTATAAATTTATGGTCGCAAAAAAACATACAACAACGAAATGTTATTCCTTCCTTTTATTCAGGTGACAGCAACAGTGAATTTCATCATTTGGGCCAAGAAATCCTGGATCGCATTTGACGAGTCCCTGAGGTCAATCACTGACCAGGTCAGATTCGAAATTGCTGCTGAGGAAGAAGCAAGAAAACATTTCAGAAACAAATTCTAATCATCATACAGCACCTGACCTCAAAAACTCTCAATTTTTTTTTTTTACCATCTTGTGTGTATTTTTTGTTGTTGCATGTGCTGAAAAGCTAGTACGCGAACCACCAGTGATTTGATTCTTTTGCTGATGAACTGCTGTGACTTTTGTAAATGTGCCTGATAAATATGATTTGGGACGAATTTGTATGTGATGATTTTTTGCAAAATATTTATTGTCCTTTATTTATTTATTTATTTTTTACTGATGTATTGTTGTTGTTGTTGTTGTTGTTTTTGGGAAGGAAGCCCAGAGGTGGGAATAAGTGAGGTGAAGTCACTCAGTGTTGGAATACGTGTCCGTTATAAACTTCGAGGCGTCCTTTTTTTTGTTTTTTTTTGTGGCGTCCCCATATAACACGCGGAGGATCCGGGTTGATTCAAGCCAGCAGCAACAGCACCTGCTGCTCAACGAGAGGTTGATGAATATGCAAACGGCGTCGGGAGGCGGCTCATTACCGCCCTGGACTCGGGCCGGAAAAAAAAAAAGGGACGCCTCCTCCTCCTCCACACCGCCGCCGTTTTAAAAGCCGGCATGTGCGCAGTGAACCGCGTTTAGTCGTCCGTTGTTGCGTGTGTGTTCGGCAGCAGCAGCAAAATCAGTGAAAAAAAAAAAGAATATGCGTTGGTTGTACGTGTTGGTGTGGGCGGCCAAGTTGGGCCAGGTGGCCCTAGCTGTGTATACACACGCCCATAGCGGGGCGTTGGTGACGAAGCCCAATTCCTCTGCTGCTGACCTCGCCGACTGGTACGAGAAGATGATGGAGGCGGAATGGGAGCCGAAACGGCGCCGGAAGAAGAAGAAGAAGAAGAAGCGGAGGCGGAATTGGGTGCGGAATAGGGCGGTGATGATGATGGCGGCGGCGACGCCGATGGACGCCGTCGACGACGACGACGACGACGACGACGACGATAATAATAACTGGCCCGCGTTGGTCGCGACCGCCTCGATGACTGCCGCCACCACCACCACCACCACCACCGCCGCCACGACGACGACGACGACGACGACGACGATGGCCGCCACGACCACGACGCAGCCGCCCATAGTGGGTGTATTTTATTTTATTTTTTATTTGGCGTGTGGAATCCCTTCACAACGATTTTCTCTTTATAACGAATATTTTTTCTAGTCAAGAAAATATTTGTTACAAAATATTCCAGAAAAGTTTTGAAGAGGAAATTGTTTCTAGAGAGATTCTTTCTATTCTGTGGAGGTTCTCTATACAAATAAATTCTCTTTACAACGACGCTGATTTTCTTCACGGATTTTGTTGTTGTTGGTGTAATGAAATTTTTTTTGGCTCCATGACAGCGAAATTTAAGTGATCAGATGAGAAAAATTTTTTGAAGACAAGATTATTATAAAGAGAGATAGAGAGAGTTCACGACCTGCGCATATTAGGGATCTCTATAAGGAAATTCTCATTAAAACGATCTTGATTGTCTGCAATAACCATTTTTTTTTGTATAGCGAATTTTTGTGGTCACATATATGCTAAAGATGAAATCCCTTTAAAGTGAAATTCAAGGGACCAGGGAATGATTTTTAAAATACAATACAAGAATTTTGTACGTATAGAGAGAAAGTCAATTTGGATAGGGGTTCTCTACAACGAAATTCTCTCTACAATGCATTGTTTTTCTGACCCATTGAATTTCTTTGTAGAGAGATGTGTATGAGTTAGGCATTGAAATTTGGATAGATATACTGTATATGGTAGATGATGAGAAAATTACAATTATCAGTCTGGAACTAGTTGAGCTCTTTATGTGAAACAGTCTTTTATTGAGAAATTTGAGTCTTCTCACAATAAAGAGGAATAAGAAATTATTGCAGATTGTAGAATTTTATTGCCAAATTTAATTTCTACTGAAAGGCATTTTTCATATGCTCAACTTGAATATTGGAACATTTGTGCAAAAATCAAACGTTTTTAGCTGCGAAAAATTGGGGAAATATCAAGGATTGAAAATTAAATGACAAAAATAATAGGCATAAAGTTGAATCAAACCTCCTTGAGTCAAAATGTTTTTCAAAATGAATTCCCTTGCTGAAAACAAAGCATTAAAAACCTCCCTGACTCAAGGGATATTTTTTTTGTTAAACCACCACAACTAAAATTTTCTGAAGGCCTTTTGGGTATTATTTAATTACAGCAGGAAACATTAAAAAAACTGTGACTTGATGTGTTTTGAAAGAAAATTAAAGACTATAATTGGGCTAATGAAACCTTAATTCCCTCCAATTTCAGCAAAGTCTGTCAACTCACATTTAGTGAGCAATTTATTGCTTGACATATCATATTACAATTACATATCACAAAAATATAAATATTTAAATATTATATAAAATTATTTTTTAAATATTTTTATAATTTTATTTCTTATAATTTTTATTTGAATTATTGTTATTTAAATATTTATAAAAATATCTAAAATTAAAATTTCCTGTAATTCCTCTTTCGTCTTTATCTTAATAAAAGTGCTCTTTTTACTTCTTAAGTCGAAGCCGTTCAAAGTCGAATTTTTCACAGGTCCCTTGAAAATTGACTTGTATATAGGTTCGACTGTGTTTTTGGAGGAACCCTTTGGTATAAATAAAATGTTCTCATCACCCGCGGAATAATTCAAGTACTTCAAGAACCGCCTTGTATAAAAACTTGAACAAATGCTTTTTTTGTGTTGATTCCTTGGATCACTTTTCGAAAAATAATAAAATTCCTGCTTGTAGAATTTCCTTCATATGTAGTTTGAATATGCAGTCGAAATAGTACTAATTTTTATTATTCTTATTTTTTAATTTCCTTTTTTTTATTGCTGCTGAAACATTAGTGACGTGTTTTTAATATGTTCCGAGAGTTAAATATATTCTTCACTCGATCCCAGTAAATGCGTCTTAATGTGTTCTGCTGTCATCAACGTCAGGATTAATAAATGCGGAGAAAAAAGCCGCAGCTGTTGCTGCTTTACACACAAAGACCTGTTAAAGTTGCATTAAATTGTCATTGGGATGATTGCCTTTGTTATTGAAATGTGACAGGTTCTTGTCGAATTGAAAAAAAAAGTGCCTTTGAAAAGAGGTGCTGAAGTCTCACACCTGTGGTGATGATGGAATATATATATAATGAGAGAGGAGAAGAACATTATGGAGCTTGAAAATGAGCTGTTTTTTTTTGTTTTGTTTGAGAAATACATTTATTTTTATTCAAGATAGACAGGAAAGACTCGTCTAGATGTAGAGCTTTGTTTTTTTTTTTTTTTATTGAAGGCAAGTTTAAAGTTGAGTGCAAGAACGAAATTGAGAAATACACAGCCATTTTTTAAATTTTCGTTTCCCAAAAGAGTCATTGTTTGAAAAAGTCTTAACTTTTATTAAGTGACAGATAATAATAATGTGTTTGGGATGAATTTAAAATTTTTTAAATGTAAAGTGAATGGAAATTTGAAATTGAATCCACTTTATTATGATGAGCATCGAGTTACATTTTTCAGTTTTTTTTTCTTGGCCCCAGAAATTCAGTCTAAGTCTTCCAGAAAATTTCCAGTATGTCTGAGTTGATGATCTCTATAATAAATTATTTTCAAAGAAATGGTACCCAAACAAAAGCCCCCTGCAAAAAGCCCCCCTGGGTCAAAAGCCCCCCTGGGTCAAAAGCTCCCCTAGGTCAAAAGCCCCCCCCCACCACTTTTTAAAAATTGGATGCAAGTTTCACAATAGTGTTTGGTGGCCCTGAGAAGGCCCGCTTGAATTCCTTAGTCCTCAATAGGACTGTTTAATAATCACCTTCAACATTGCCTTCTGATGCCTCTTCCTCACTACCACTGATGCTCTCCACGTGATTTTCTTCTAAATAGCCATTTTAGTATGCAATTTGATCGCCCTTCTGATTTTTAATGGTCAGAAGTGCACCAGCTATTGGACCAACAAGGTGAACTGTAGATTTTGCAGAAGTCAGCAAGTGATGATGCTTTGACATTCAAAGAATCACTGATGACCACTGCAGGTGAAGAATACCTTTATATACCTAACTTACCAACATATTGGTACTTGGTATTGTGCTGCCGGGCCTGCTGGTGAAAGGTGCAGCTTGACATCAATAGTTACAAGAATACCTGTAATCCCCAATTTTGGCACCAAGGGGGGCTTTTGACCTAGGGGGCTTTTGGAAGGGGGGGGGGGGCTTTTGGACTACACTTCAAAGAAATTTGTTCGGAGACTCCAATAAAATTTGAGTAAATTCCAAGGTCCTCAATTCGCATAATTATTATTTTTAAAGTGCACATCACTACAGGGTGCATCTCAATAAAAAAAGTGTACAGTATATTTTTGCGCAAATTAAAAAAAAATTACTCGAAAGTAATTACTTGAAAGCGGGTTACTTGAAAGGGAACCGCTGCCACCAGTAATTGAGATTATGAGTTTATTCTCTCTTTTTGGTTTAGAGTAAGTTAACCACCTCTTGTTCCAGAAGATCATCAGGTTAACAAGAATAATTGACCTTCACTGGTCTTTGAAGGAACCTTTAAGAGGTTCCCCTACACTACAATGGAGACATTTATTTTCGGAACTGAAAGACGCTGTGATGAGTCATTTATCTTAATCCTTAAAAAATAAAATAAATGCATCAACTGACATTTCAATTATTACCCAGGAAAACCTAGCGCGAAAATTTGGGGCAGGTCCAAAAAGGACACTGAAAGGATGCGTCCAATTGAGAGTCCAACACCCAAAAATTTGAACGCGTACAAATGGGACACTTTGTGGACTGGTACATGAAGGGTCCAATGGGGACATGTCCCCAGGGGACGGTATGAGGAGGATGAAATGGACACGTCCACATTTGCAAGCATTAGAACGCATCCAAGGAAGACGCTTGTAGTACAGGTCCCTAGAGCGTCCAGAATGGACGCGTCCAAAAGATTTAAAATTGGATGCGTCCGGGCCGCGTCCAGAAAGGACGCTAGTGAGGTTTATTGCCAGCCGCCGGCAATAAACCTGGCGCCCGCAAGCTGGAAGCATTACAAGTATGACTCACTCCAACATCATGTGCATGTCCTGACTTGCAGAGGAAGGCTGAGCGAGAATTCTCGCTTTGCGGGGTGAGCGAGAATTCT